CGGGGTGAAATCATAAAATGCAAAGGAATACAAAATATTTAATACAGACAAGTAGAATAAATCCCCATAGTCGAAAATGGAGCATACAGCCAGCAAGGAATACATGGGACAGGGCTTGATAAAGTTTTCTTAAGTTTTAAATTAGATCTTTGAATTCCTGAACGCACAATTCCTGAAGCAGCAGACCCATGACATATCTGACAAGCCCGGGGTTTCCCAGGTCAGCGATGCTTTCCATTCTTTGGGAATTAGAGATGGGCCCATCCAAATACCTCCAAGAGTTGATAGAGTGTAGACTGCGACCTAGACTCTAATGAAGCCTAATGGATGCCTTTGTTCCCTCTGGTTTGTACGAGACCAGCTGCTCCAAGTGGCCTTGGATTCTAGAGAAGTTTAACAGTTTCTGTCCTGTGATCTCCAGCAAAGACAGCATCTTGGGCAGCTCTGGTGGGCCATATGTTGTGTTCACATGGTGCCGGAGGTACTGCTGGCCTGCAGGGGGGTGGGGGGGAGAGGAGTACATCCACACATCAATAAAGAGATCAAAAAGCAACTGCAATTCAGCATTATGCATGAAAAGACACCTCTTTTGATTGGCAATCAGGCCTTTGCTAACTGTGCAAATGGGAAAGGCCTGCCTTAAGGCTCTGAGATATGTCACATATCCAGAGAGAGGAAGGAAAAAATAGTTGAAGAGTCAGGTAAGGATGCATGCTCAGTATTGGAGGCTGCAGATTAAAAAAGCAACTAGTAGCAAAGCAAAATGACTGACACCACTTAAAAGGGCAAGAGAAGTGGAATGGCTAGACACATCATACTCTAAATAAGAAACACATGGGAAATGTTGATCAGAGAATGCTGGCACACAGCTGAGGTCTCTGAAAAAGAAAAAAAAAGAGGAAACAGAAAACAAGATGGGAAGATAACATTTCAAAGCAAGCATTAAATGGGTAGCAGTTCCAGCTAATAGAGACCTGTCACAGTTTTTCCCAGTAGCACATAGAGAATTGCTGATGATCATTAACACCTTTTGCTGGGGATCCCAGGACAGAAACCTTTAATCCCCTCCAGAATTTATTATCAGCAAATGCAATTCTATGAATTTCTATTTCTCTCCAGAAATTGTTCTATAAAGTTAGTAAAAACAAGTGAAGCCTTAACTGCAACAACAACAAAAACCTATTATTAATTATTTAGATTTTTAAATAATAAATACTTGGGATTTAATAATATGATATTCATTAAAGCAGCCACCAGAACCACAGGGACCTCAAGTACATCAGCTTCCTTCTTATCTGTTTCTCTGGTTTTTTTCCCCACACCACCTTTGCTTCCTATGAGTAGCAGCCACCATGGACCTTTGGCACAACAGTCAGCAATGAGGAATGAGGACTGAGACCCAGTTCCTGGCTCCCCAGTCTGCTGTGCAATTTCTTAGAAAATCTCTCTTTAAAACGCAAATTCTTTTTAACAATGAAGGTGGATGCAGTTTTTTTCAGCAACATGGTGCCTCATTCCTGCCTGTCGCTCTCTGTAGAGCTCTGCTGAACATGCTGCATTGTCTCCATTGTCTCTGGAGTGAAACTGGGTGCCACTGCAGGGATCTGTTTTCATTGGGCTGGAATGTCAGCGCACCTGCTACAGAGAAGAAAACCCTGGAGTTCATTGGCTGCAAGGGCAGATTTGTACAGTGCCCTCGATCAGCCTTCAACTACCTGAAAGGGGGTTCCAAAGAGGATGGATCTAGACTGTTCTCAGTGGTGGCAGATGACAGAACAAGGAGTAATGGTCTCAAGTTGCAGTGGGGGAGGTTTAGGTTAGCTATTAGGAAAAACTATTTCACTAGGAGGGTGGTGAAGCACTGGAATGGGTTACCTAGGGAGGTGGTGGAATCTCCTTCCTTAGAGGTTTTTAAGGTCAGGCTTGACAAAGCCCTGGCTGGGATGATTTAGTGGGGGATTGGTCTGGCTTTGAGCAGGGGATTGGACTAGATGACCTCCTGAGGTCCCTTCCAACCCTGATATTCTATGATTCTATGATTACTCCTCAGGTGTGTTGGTTCTTCACGTCTGCCTATTTGGTGAAAATGAGCAGCAGCATCCGTTCTATCCGAGAGCACGGTCTGGGCCAGATGCTCAGCACATCTCAGGGATGGGGCAACACATGATGCTTTCAAGGGGAGCAGGAGCAGGTGCCAGCTTTATGCCACCTGGCATATACTTCAAAGGCCATTTAAGCCAATTTTCTACCCTGTTGGCACTGCCAGAGCAAGGCCAAAGACATGGAAGAGAGACCAGAATGTGGCCCACAATCTTTCCAGCAGGTTCTCTGCCTCCACACTTCCTGTTTGACTTGAGAACTCAGTTCCCTACATCCTTTGAGGTTCTGCAGTCACTAGCCCCAAAGAGGGTGTAAAAGGCTTTGACACCTGTGCCTACTCATCGCAGGTTCTGGAAGTCTCTCACTGCTCTTGCCAGCTCTGCTCTGCCTCCCCAGATCCTGCAGGAAATGGTCACCAAGTGAACAGTGTGTGTGTCAGCTGAACTGAAATTTGGTTTGGGTTTTGCAAAACTTTAGAGGCTGTGACTTGGTTTCATAACATGAGAGGTGGAATTTGGAGGTAGGGTTCTTGTGTAGACCTGCCACTTTTGGCCTTTGCTTTCGGTACGTACAAAACAGAGACAGGACCAACAAGCAATCAAGGCTCCAGACACCAACAAGTGGGAGACGTGGTTCAGTTGCTCCTGATGGCGTTGAGTGTGAAGTGGTGTGCAACGCCAGGGGCCGACACAGACTCTCCCCGCGGAGCTGGAATATGTAGCCCCAGGAGTTGCAGCGCTGCAGGGAGCTAGCTCGGAACAGCAGCGTGTGTTTGCTCCAGCCACTTGCTAAGAGGCCCCTTTGTACGGCAGGCGTCTCACTGGGAGAGAAGAGCAGCAGGTACAATAATAGGCGGCTGTAGACAGGCCACGGTCGTAGGAATCCGAGACATCATCTCAACAGGGCCACCCGGGGGAGGGGGGCAAGTGGGGCAATTTGCCCCGGGCCCCACAGGGGCCCCCACAAGAATATAGTATTCTATAGTATTGCAACTTTTTTTTATGGAAGGGGCCCCCAAAATTGCTTTGCCCCAGACCCCCTGAATCCTCTGGGCAGCCCTGCATCTCAATGAGACGTTGGCCATGAACGGGACATTCCTATCATGGAGACATTAGAAACCAGGTGCATTTCTTTCTGGTATCAGGTGATGGCTGCTGCCCATGGCTCCCATCTGGGAGGGCAAACATCAGGCCTGGTCTCCCCTGGGCCTGCTCCATATTGGGCCTGCTGCTGACATCCATGTATAGCAGGAGATGCGCCATTGAAGCCACCAAGTCACACAGGGAGCGTGAGAGAAGAGTTGGGCTCCTTGTCTCTGGCACCCCAGCACCACTCTCGCCTGGAGATATCTGCTGGCCCAGGAGTCTGGCAATGGCTCTATTAACTCAGAGCAGGTTTTCTCCTAGGGCTCTGGAAGCTCTAAAACCAGCATCATAACTGCTGTGTGGAGGAAAAGTCACAAATCTGAACCCCTGCACTAGCGAGATGAAAATGACTACAGTGGGTACGATTAAAAAGGAAACATTGACTGCAGAACAGCATGAGCCCCCCGCTGCACTCTGCATTCCAAATGCAGGAAATGTCACTGCGAAGTCAGTACCATGGGGCAGGGCTCATTCACTTGCTTAATGGCACTCCCTGTACCTCAAATTCTGTAAATTAATTATTCATGACTTATACAATGCTTTACAGTGAGACGTGGCTGCATTCTAAATGTAAAAGCAATCCACCTACATTTTTTAATCAGTCTTTGTTATGAATGGCGGATGCTTGAAGCTGAAGCAAAAATCATCATCAGCAGCTATATTTATTGGCTAAAATATTGCTGTATCCAAGCTTAAGAAATATCAAACACATCTGCCAGCGGCTAGAATGATAAGAAAGGAGAAATCTAACCAGTGGAAAATACATCATGTTTACCACAAGTTTAAAACAAAGAATCAGCAGCCATGACAGGATTAAATCGAGGACACCATTATTCCATTAAATGATCTTTAGATGAATGCTGTGTCTCTGAGGAGGGTATAAGACAAAATGGAAGGCTTGCTGTGTGGATGCTTTTCTTCCCGTGCACGTCAATTTGTTGCCTCTGTTATTCGATAGCAGTGTATAAATCTTACTCATTTCATTCCAGATAAAGGGAGACAACATCATAGGACCTGTGTATCTTTGCATGGGATATTGAGAACTGGACTCCTCATTTTCTGTAAATAAATGGTCAAATAGACAGGAATCTTCTCAAGCTTCAGGACTGGGAGAATATTTTAATGCATGTTCCAATCGGACAAGTGTGAGAGAGAGCCCACATAAGCCTTCCGCCTGCTCGGCAGCTTGTAACTAGGGTGGGGCTGGGAGAAGATGATTTGGGGCCAGGTGCTGCCATCTTTATTCATCCTGAGAACAACATCGCCCCATGAGTAGCCCAACGTGGGGGCAGGGAGGGGGCAGAATACATAATGTGAGTAAGGGAGACACAATTGGGCCCTTTACATTTTGGAAATTAAAAGCATTCTAGGCTATTTGTTACAGACTTACAAGCACTAACTCATGAATTGGGACACCAACAGGGCCGGCTCCAGGCACCAGCTTGGCAAGCAGGTGCTTGGGGCGGCCGCTCCGGAGAGGGGCGGCAGGTCCAGCTATTCAGCGGCAATTCGGCGGATGGTCCCTCACTCCCGCTCAGAGCGAAGGACCTCCCGCCGAATTGCCGCCACAGATCACGATCGCGGCTTTTTTTTTTTTGTGGCTGCTTGGGGCGGCCAAATCCCTGGATCTGGCCCTGGACACCAAGGTGATTTCCCGCAGCTATTTAAGTTTAGGAAGATAAAATTTCGGCTAACTTGTTCACTTGATTGGTGAGCACTAACTCTGGAATCCCATTTCACCCCCAGATAGCTGGGGATTAGGAAGTGCTCTCACTCCCACTTCACCCGAGGGTGAACAGGCGCAGCGCCGTCCTACAGCGTTGGAACAGCTGTTTTGAGGTAATTTCAACATATCTTATGCTTCGAACTCAACAAGCCAAACCCCCCATAAAGCAGACAGCAAGCACGTTAGTCTCTTTATTTCCTATCACAGCTATTTATGTGACATATTATAAAAGCCAATTTATTAACCTTACTCGGTACTGGGTTTGCATTGGTTAAAGACTGTCTTTCTGTGAACCGTGTGCCTAAAGGGAACATTGAATAAAAAAAAGTGTTTAAAAAAAGTGTATGAATGATAGAAAAATCCCATTTTACAACCGGAAGGTTGCAGATTATTATCTGGGTCTGTTTTCACTTGATTTCTCACACTGCAGATTTACTTGGTTACAATGAAATATTGGGGTAAAATAGTTCTGGGGTGGGTATGTGTAAAGTGTTGATAGATTTTACAAGTCACAGACCCATTTTCATACACACAGGGAATTTTAATATCTATTGATGTTTCAATGTTACATTTAACTATATAATAAATGTAGCCAAAGCCAAATTCCAACGCCTTCCGTGAAGCAAACTATGAAGCAGAGAGCAATGTGAGTAGTGAACCCAATTGGATAAAATCAGAAACAACCCAAAATTTCACACACAATTTGAATAAAAATAAACGTTTGTGGAGGTTAGAAAGTTCTTCATTCCCACGAGCCTGAGCACATCCTGGTGTCAGACAGAACCAGCAGCTCCAATGCCGTGAGGACAACTGCTCTTGTGCTATTTCTGAGAGGACTGAACCCAGGAAGTGGTGGGAATCTAAAGACAGGGCCTGTTCCCAGGAGAGTTCTAGCCTCGTTTCTACAGGGGTATATGTTTAGATAAGCTTTGGATGAGCATCTGTATTTTGATACGTGCAGATATGGATCTTTATAGATAGCTGTTAGAGTGAAAGCTGGTAGCAACCTCTTACAGAACACTTTCCATTATAAAAGATTATTACAACCTTTATTTGAGAAGCTCTAAGCTTGGCCTTGGCAGGAAGTAATTTTGCTGTACAGTTGTCCAGTGGTATGCAATACAACAGCAACGTTCCTCTCAAGCTCTCTTCTTCATATTTCAGGACATCTTGAATCTGTCTCTTGTAGTTACCTCCCTATATTAGGTCATTTGAGATCTAGGACCTGATTCTCCACTGTCTCACACCTGGTTTGAGCATTTGCATCAGTGCATAGTGAATGCAAAATGCTCGCATTCTGGACTGACACTCACTGTGCTGTTCTGGCAGGTTTTAAACTCATTGTGCTCAGGTGTAAATGAGGACAAAGGTGCGAGACCAGCCCTTAGTTCTAAGTAGTTGCCTGTGGCTGTGAAGATGGGATTGTGAAGAGATCACAAGTCAGGGAGTTACTATTCACTCAAAAAGCTACAACCCAGTGAAATTACCTGGATAGTTTTGCAGATTTCAAACATCAAAGACTTTTATTCTTTTCTATCTCTCTAGGTATTTATTTGGCCTCCCTCTCCACAAGAGCTGAGCACCTCACAATCACTAATGGATTTTGCTGGGTTTGTCTTGTTTCCTGCACCCCAAAGAAGTTCTGCCCAGAGATTAAACGTCTCCTTTCTGGGAAGCGGTTTGGTCAGTATAAAAGCATTTTAAAACCTGCATTTTTATGAAGTTTTTATTAGTTGCAGAGCCTGAGAGATGGGCACTAAATAGAATATTGGTCAACAAAGGTATCTATTTAAAAAAAACAGGTTGACTCTGATTAAATGCAAATACTGAATTGAGCTTCATTTCCTCCTGAATCCAAGGTGTCCTTCCCCAAGGCAATACCTTCAGGACTGACCCCTCAGCTTCCCTCCCATCCTATTTAACAACAAGACCTGACTAGGAGACAGAAGGGGAAAACTCGCCTTCTAGGGTGATAAACAAGCCTCTGTGCTCGTATTCCCTATAAACACTATTTCAGCTGATCTCCCCAATGCTGTTCATACACTGAGAGAGAGAAATAAACAGCCAGGCACAGAAACAGACTTTTGCCAACTGCAAAGAGATTAAATTGGCAGAAAAAGAAATTATATTTTCCAGTTTCACAGCAGGTTTTACCAACAATGGAAACTATGAAAATTACTCACTCGGAAATGTCTAACGCTTTTTTTCTGGAATGTGCCCATTGTCCAAGGTACAAGCAGAGATGCCGAATGGTGTCAGTGCTCTGGGCATACATGGCCTGGGGAGCAGTGTCTTCCACCCAGTTCCCTCTCTGTTTGGAGAGTGGCACTTTGCACAGAACCATAGTGTAGACAATGTATAAACTGTTGAGAAAGAAGAAAATCACTTTGGGCTGAGAGCTTTGTCTGAACTTTGTCCTTTTCTCAAGCAAAGGAAAATATTATTTCACCCTTTAAAGAACCACACATAATAAGAGGCGAAATGTCAAGACCAATGTTGATATAAACCCCCAAGGAAAACAAACATCCATGTGGCTTCTCCAAAAGGTCTCACTCCTCACCCCTCTTCCCTAGTTTAAACAGATTTAGTAAGTGAGGAGGAATGGGAGGGAGGGGGGCTTCTCCAGGGGTCAATTCTAAAGGTCCTCTGTAAAGGCCCAATCTGGTACATAGTCTTCAAGAGGATGCTCAGCACCTAGCAGGATTGATCCTTCTGGGGTGGCAAAACCTCAGACTTTCATGATGAAAGCTCTGTGAATAAGATGCAGGCATCTTGGCCTCACATGACAGACGTTTACAGGCCCCTGTTTTCCAGGGTCATGTCATATTGTATCCCTACACCAGAGGTTTACACAAAATGCCACGTACTGCTCACACTTCGGAGAGGATTTCACTTGCCTGACTGCAGTAAAATGGCTTAAAACAGTACATGTGAGAACCATGTGGTCAGAAGAGCAGAAAGACACATTGAAAATGGAGATGTTATATTGTCTTTCTTACGGTATTTGTGGGTCTTTGGAAGAGTTGCATGGGGTATAGTCACACAAGACTTGGTAACTCCCCCATTGTCTTTCATATGAGGCATACAGCTAAATCCTAGGCAACTCTGAAGAGATGGGGTGATGCATTTTTATGTAACAATGTACCTGTGTTAAGTGGCTGTGTATACTATTCGTATGCCAACAAAAACAAGAAACATATACCCAAGGTCTGGCTGGATCTGGAATAGTTAGCATGTGCCTCTATCCGCCGCCAAGAGGAGACTAGCCCACAACCGGTGCTGTCTGCACAGTACCCTTTGGGGCAGGGCGAGGGCTGGCAGCAGCACAGTCCAGTCTCTCCCTGGGGGTGAGAACAGCAGTTGTGCCTGGCAATGCCTAGAACCCGGCCACTTCCCACCCGCGCACATCCACACTGGGGACAGGCACAGCCAGCTATACTGCCCCTGTTCTGTGTCTCGGCCCTTCCTTATTTTCCTCTCCTCCTTCCCCCAGAGCTCTGTGCCCCTTGTGTTGAGTGACTGGGTTGGCTGTGCTTTGTGCCCCTTGTGTTGAGTGACTGGGTTGGCTGTGCTTTGTGCCCCTTGTGTTGAGTGACTGGGTTGGCTGTGCTTTGTGCCCCTTGTGTTGAGTGACTGGGTTGGCTGTGCTTTGGACCACTGGTCAGACTGCGAAGTGTATGGTGGGCTTTAAATGCCATTCATTTCATTCTTGGTGGTGGAGCTGATCCGGGGGCACCCAGAACTCTTTAGCAGTCGGCCCTGAAAAATAAAAGCCCTGATTACTCTGATTTCACTAGACAGCACAGATACAACAATTTCCACCTACAGCAACAATAATCACCACATTATGCAGCACAAAAGTACAAAAATGAATAATTAAAAAATACAGGCTGGCTCTGGGAGAGACCCTGTTATTATGTGCATCAGAAACAGGATAAATCACAAGTAATTCAGAAGCCACATTCCCAGGTTCACTCATAACCATCTTGGTATTTGGAGTCCCATTGGGAGCCATAAACGACATAGAGTCCACATTATAAAAATAAACATGAAGTTAAGTGGCAAGGATTCATTTACACCCAAAGGGGAAACACTTCACTGTTTACAGTATTGGTTTAATACAAACATAGCAAGTTTCACCTTCAAATACATCCCCAATTCTAGGGGAAGGGGATGCTTGGGGAAGAGGGTACTGGGTAACCCTACTTATTGTCAAAGCTGCAAGTCCCACTAAAGAGCATGTTGTCCTAGACAAGGTCCTGACATGCTTGAGCTCTGGAAGAGCCATGACAAATCCCTTAAATTTAGTCTCCAAAAATCATGAGATTTTAAACAGTAAAATTTGTGGTCTTTTTATTTGTCTTCTGCGTTTTGAGCCCTTGGGGTATCATATGTTCACGCTTTTCTCTGAAAGCATAAGAGCTAGAAACTTGCTTTCTTAAAACAATGAAAGCTGAGATTCTCACATCATCACCTGCCTCCAGGAGCTGGGCCTTTTAGTAAAGCCCCAAGTATCAGGAGATTGGTGATCAAATCTCAAGGCCTGGCAAGGCGGCCCCAGTGAGTCAGAAAGAGGAAGGGCTGAATAAAGACGGAGCAAGGACTTCAGCCTCAGGCATTGTCATTTTGCCTTTTACCTTATATTTGACTTTCTCCTTTTCCCTTAGCGAAAATAAAACCAGAATGTCTCGAAGAATCCCAGATCAACAGTCAAAGTGATGATTCCAAAAGAGGTATTATTAAATATTGCTAGTCAAAATGCACAATTATTAACAATGTGATTCATTTGGGGCGGGGAAGAGTGAATAGACCTTGGTTGCAAAATTGGATTCTTAGCAAAATGCAGGGCAGGCTCAGGGGTGATTGGCTGGGATCAGAGTCCCAGCACTCATGAAAACAAAACTGAGTGCAGCACTTTATTCACCCCGAGACAGCGCCAACATGCCTTTCTCCGACGAAACACCCACTGACTTCAATCTCTTCAACTCAATGGGAGTTTTGCCTGAATGAGGGCTACAAGATTCATCCCCTGTACGTGCTCTCAAGTATCCCTGTCTAAATCAAAATCTTAACTGCATCTTTATTCTGATCACAGGCTCCGTTTCAGTTAGTTCTCTAAACAAATGTTATTTGGACATGTGGTGTCATGGGAGGATATTGCAATGGCTCCAAAATGCTTTTCACCAATAAGAAACTAGCATTTCACTGAATCATGCTATCCTGTAATTCAGTTTGTTCTCAGGAAGCAAAAACTCCATGGGGGAACATGCCCAGGCAATGGTATGCATTGTTTTAACCTGTGGAAAACAGGTTAAAATTAAAATCAGTGGCACTTCCAGCATCTCTGGCATGAATCTTTAATTGTGTATAATCACAGTGCAATCTGTTGTAATATCAATAGATGGAGCTAGGTGAGAAAGGAAAGGTATGGAGGGAATCGTTTCTCCCATGGCACAGATTTAACTCTTGATTTGACCTGATTAAGGACAGATCCCCGATTTAGCTCCTGAGGCTTTGAAAATAACAGAAGGAAATAGCAATATGCAGCCCTGCTGGAATTGGACCCAGTGGGAAAACAATGACAGTTGATCTCATGGAAAAGTCAAGAGTTGGAGCCAGTTCAGACTTCAGAGCAAACTAGGAGCACAGGGATTGGGTGCAGGGGAGGGGAAGTCTGACCAGGGAGGTTGGGAAGACAGCTACAGGGAGAGAAGGCTTCAACACTGAACCTTCAACCCCCTCCCCCGCACCCCAGGATGATTCCCAAAGGGACGTGGTTTTGTCCTTGGCAGTGCAATAAGGATGTTCCCTTTGATATGACAGCCCGGTGCAATGCACCAGGGACTGGTGAGATTGGTGCCATCACTCATGATCAAAATGCATCACTGGTGATAATGCCAACCTGGTGGTTGCAACAGCACATTCACGGAGGGTGAAATTCACCCCTACTCAAAGGACCGGCAGAGGCCGCCTAAGTATCATCTAAGCTCTACGGCTTAATATGCAAACTTTGCTAAGTATCTATCCATACCTTACAAACTGAGGATGATGGGCACTAAAGCAGCAATGATAACAAATAATTAATTGATAATAATTAGTTGCTTATTTATTTATTTGTGGAGAAATGACAGTTTGCTCAGCACCGCACAAAACATGTGCTATTGTTTATTATTTGTATTACAGTTGTGCCTAGGAGCCCTAGCTGTGGACAAAGCCCCAGTGTGCTAGGCGCTGTACAAACACAGAACCAAAAGACAGCCCGGACCCAAAGAGTTTACATTCTAAGTACATTTTCTGTCCCAAAGACCCTACAATCTTGGGACCTTATCCTGAAAATATTGACTCTGCTCACATGGGTACGGTTGTTCACATGCATACATGTTTGCAGGATTGGACACGTATACAATTTCTGTGCATAGCATTTAACAGGCAGATAGATAGATAGATAGATAGATAGATAGATAGATAGATAGATAGATAGATGGGGTGTATGGGGATAGATAGATAGATAGATGGGGTGTATGGGGATAGATAGATAGGTTTATGCTATATTGTGTGATGTCTAGTAACCTGATCCAGCCAGGGGTCTGTAATGTAATTACAAGTAACTGTGATGGCTCTGGTGCTATTGTTTATTATTTGTATTACAGTTGTGCCTAGGAGCCCTAGCTGTGGACAAAGCCCCAGTGTGCTAGGCGCTGTACAAACACAGAACCAAAAGACAGCCCGGACCCAAAGAGTTTACATTCTAAGTACATGGGTTTACCCTTTTTTGCTATTTCTCTCTGTTTCAGTATCATGGCCCAGTTTAGTAGGGTTATGGAGGGGAAACAAATATACTTGACAGCAAAATCAGGGAGTAAGTCCCTGTTTCTCCATCTCATACAATCCAATGTTATCTCACCTTTCACTTACTGATCTATGCTGACTACACAGCAGACCTCAAAAGCTCTGGAGAGTCAGGCCAGGTGAGTACGAGGGTGATGGAGCAAAAGCTCCTGTTTTCTTTGCTGGCCTAAGTGAGAGGAATTTGTGCCAGATTCCTCTCTTTGAGTCATAAGTGAGCAATTCCAAACCAGCAAGGCGGGGGGGTGGGGAGGAGTGCTGTGTTACTGGAGGTGCCATACTTAAGATGAGAAATAAAACCAAGGTCCTGACTACTGATGAGCATGATAAAGACGCTATGCCAGTTTTTGCATAATAGCAGAGTGATACGATCTAAGTTAGAATGATAACAGTCAGCCAAGATAACACTCTACCTAAATTCTCCTTCCAGTTTCAATTCCATACAACATTCTTCATTTCATGCCCTAAATTGCTTTGTATTGTAGTTATAAGCTATTGAACAGTTGCTGTAATACCCCAGAAGTGCTGCATTTCAGTGGTGGGTGAAGAGCTTTGGGGTCTCTTGCAATCAGGGCCGCCCAGAGGATTCAGGGGGCCTGGGGCCTTCGGTGGCGGGGGTCCTTCCGCTCTGGGTCTTCTGAGCACTTCGGCAGCGGGTCCGGGAGCGAGTGAAGGACCTGCCGTCGAACTGCCGCCAAAGACCAGGAGCGGAAGAAGCCCTTGCCGCCGAATTGCTGCCAAAGACCTGGAGCGGAAGAAGCTCCGGGTCTTTGGCAGTGGGTCCTTCACTCGCTCTGGGTGTGTTCGGCGGCACTGAAGGACCTGCCAAAAACTCTCTTGGGAGCCCCTGAAAACTCTTGTTGGGGCCCCTGTGGGGCCCGGAGCCTGGAGGCCCCCCCCCATCTGGGCGGCCCTGTTTGCAATGAAAGGTATTAGAGAAAGGTGAGATTATTTTTGTTGTTTTATTATTGGGATCAGAAATGCAAACTCTCACAGAAATCTCTATGCATATACAAGAAAATAACCTGACATGATCCCAAGCTTCTTCTTCTGTGTGTTTGTTTTGGGTCTGTGACACACATGAAACACCTCAGTGTCACTCCCCGGCGCTTGGACTTTTGAGAGCAAAGTTGTGGAGCTTGGGAGTTCTGTCGCCCAAGTTCCACACAAGACACTTATGCCACTGGGGTACCAGCAATGGTTCAAAGCAATTATGAAAGAAATCCAAAAGATCTAACCTAATGCATCATCTAATTAATGAAGTGTTAAAACAGAAATTAGGGGTCATATTCTTCAATCAGTTACACACATAAAGGGCTTTCAAGGCTGTGTGGAGAGCAGAATTTGACTCTTTAAGAGTTTCCCATTCTTTGCAGATTAATTTAAATGGGGTGGCAGCATGGATTGCTTCACAGCAGAATAACTGAGCAAATGCAGCTCATTATTTTGGTTTCACTCCAGTCTTGTCAGTTTCCTCTCTGCTGGAAGTAGGAGTTCTTTACTGGGACTAATGTTGTGATGTAAAAAGAGTAAGAAATATCTGGTCACACAAATATGCAAAAATCTGGGATGTATTTCAGTTCTCTAAAAATATCCAGAGGGCAAATAACAAAAGGACAGAGAGCTTCCAGTTTTCAAAAAACAAACAAACAAACAAACAAACAAACAAAACACATTTTTTCACAATCTATAACTACAAACCAGTTATGCCTTCAACTCTAAAATGTAGCATTCAATAAAAACCCCTGGCAAACAAAATAGTAATTTACAGTTGTAGTTATCTAAATGTTCTATACTTAACATTTTAAATACTAAATTCTCATAAACACTGTTGTCAGGTTGATTTGATTCCAACTCTATTGTTATTATTATTTCTCAACATAAATTTGACTTTTAAATTTATTCCCTTTGTTATTTGGTTGTTTAATTTAGTTTTGATTTGTTTTAAAAGATAAACAGAAAAGGCACATTCATTCTATCCAGCAGGCTTTGGCCAAAACAAATGCACATCAAATACGCTATTTAAACAGAAACACTCATAAAGTTTTAACATTCACCAAATAATTACAGGACAGGGCTAAAGTCCAACTCTGTCTGGAGTCCAAAGGTTTGACGTATATTTAAGATAGAGATCAAATAGAATGTGCATTGGCATCTAATATCACCAAGTCTCCTACCCTCAGTGATGCATCTACTTTTTCAAGGCCAATAAATTTTAATGCACTTGTGGATTTATATCCAAATCACATAAAATGCTCTGCCATAGTCTATTCTAAATGTTCTAATACAGGTTTTATGATCAAAATTTGGTCTCTTTGTTCTTCCAACATACATTTTAACACAAGGGCAAAGTAACTAAATGAATTAAGATGCATTTTTAAACATAATTGTAGCTTTCTGTCAAATATAGAAGAAATTTTCTCTCTCATTATTTGTAAATGGATTCTGCTCCTTTAATTAAATCTGCCCAAAGGTTATGGCAAGCAGTTTAGATCCCAGATTTGATCTGTCTGTAAAGAGCTCTAATCTGAGTCTGAATGGTGTCTGGATTTCAGCTCTCTATCTGTGTCTTCATTATTTAACACCCATTTCCCATTGGTTAGGTGGTCTTGGAGTCCAGCAGTGACGCAACTGATGTCTTTTCACACATTTTCTCATCTCTACCAATCAGATGTGGTGCTTTTCTCCCATGAGAACTTTAGTCCTACAGGCTGTTTAGCAACATTCAAGAGTGTCAATGCAGATGGAAGATTAGCAGACTAAGAGACAGGGCGCCCATCTTGGCACTCAGAGCCTCTGTGGCCCTGGATGAGTGACTTGTCCCCCTATCTCTGCCTCACTGTCCATGGGCTTATACTTGGCTTCCTGCCTCATAGCAGCATTATGAAGGCTAGTGTAGTTTGGGTTAGTCCATGGCATTTGGCCATACACCTGAGCACTGGGTGGTAAGGCCTGCATCAGACCAGGGAGAGCTCAAGGATGAGACTACGCCTCCGGATTACAGGGGATTGGCTGGTCCTGCTCCCGTCTCTGTGCCCTGCCAGCTCTAGGGGCTGGTGTGAGAGAGGGCAGGCAGCTTGCATCCTCTGAGGGTGCCCTGAGGGAATAGCCCAGGCACTTCCCATGTGCAATTGTCCCTGGCCCTTAGAGGAGAGTCTGCAAGTGGAGCTGGGGGGGAAGTCTCTGCCTACCTGCACTAGAGCCAGTACCAACTTGGCCCTTAATATTTGCATTTGAGACATGCTCTGAGAGGGCTAATCATTAATGACAGCCCTGCCTGGCTTGGGTGCTGGTGGGGGGTTCTTCAGGTCTGGAGACTTCAGCAGGGTCCATGTTTTGTTTTTGTTCTGTACAGCACCATGCGCACACTTAGTGCTCAGCACAGAAGGGCAGGGGGATGTCTCCTAGGCCAGCCACCCAGCCCAGACCAATAGTTAGTTTCATAGATTCATAGCTTCCAGGGCCAGACGGGACCATTGTGATAATCTAGTGTGACCTCCTGTAGAACACAGGCTGGAGAACTGCTCAAGAACCATTCCCAGAGCAGAGCTTTCAGAAAAATATCCCATCTTCATTTAAAAACTGAATCCACCACAACCCTTGGTAAATTATTCCAGTGGTTAATTACTCTGTGTCAAAAATGTATCCCTTATTTCCAGTCTGAATCTATCCAGCTTCCTCTTCCCGCCATTGGATGGAGTTATACCTTCCTCTGCTAGACTGAATGGCCCATTATTAAACATTTGTTCCCCATATAGATACTTATAGCCTGTAATCAAGTCACCCCTTAACCTTCTCTTTGGTAAAATAAATAGATTGTACTCTTTGAGTCTACAAGACATCTTTTCTAATTCTTTAATCATTCTTATGTCTCTTCTCTGAACCCTCTCCAATTTAAAAACATCCCTCTTGAATTGTGGACCAGCAGCTGTTGTGCCAATGCCAAACACAGAGGTAAAACAACCTCTCTATTCCTACTTGAGATTCCCCTGTTCAGGCATCCCAGGATCACATTAGCTCTTTTGGCCACAGTGTCACCTGGGGAGCTCATGTTCAGCAGATTATCCGAGACCCCCAAATCTTTTTTGCAAAGTCCTTGCTTCCCAGGAGAGAGTCCCCCTCCTCTAAGCATAGCCTACATTCTTTGTTCCCAGATGTATACATCTACATTTAGCCATATTAAAATGCATATTGTTTGTTTGTGACCAGTTTGCCAAATGATACAACTGCTCTGAATCAATGACCTGTCCTTTTCATTATTTACCACTCTCCCAATTTCTGTGTTATTTGCTTTGATTTTATGTTTTTTTTCCAGGTCATTGATAAAGATGTTAAATAGTGTAGAGCCAAGAACAATTCCCTGTAGGACCCGATTGGAAACAGAGCTGCACGATGAAGATTTCCCATTTACAGTTACATTACAGTTAGCCAGTTTTTAATCCATTTAATATGTGATATGTACATTTTTATATCTCTAGTTTTTAATCAAAATTTCATGTTGTACCAAGTCAAACACTTTTCAGAAGCTTAAATATATTACGTCAACACTATTAACTTTATCAGCCAAACTTGTAATCTCATTAAAAAAGATATCAAGTTAGTTTGACAGGATCTATTTTCCACTGCCCCATATTTATTTGTATTAATTACAGTACCCTCCTCTAGTTCATTAGTAATCAAGGCCTGTGTCAGTTACTCCGTTATCTTACTCAAGATTGATGTCAGGCTGAAAGGCCTATAATTACCCAGGTCAGACCCATTTACCCTTTTAAAAACTGGCACAACTTTAGCTTTCTTCCAGTCTTCTAGAACTTCCCCAGTGCTCCAAGACTTACTGAAAATCATTATTAATGGTTCATGTAACTCCTCAGGCAGCTCATTTAAAACTCTTGGATGCAAGTTATCTGGATCTGTTTATTTTTAAATTTCTGTCTTTAGTAGCTTCTGTTTAATATCTTTCAGAGATACTGGTGGAAAGAGTATTATCATCACCATGTAATGAGACTATATCATCTGTTTTTCCCCAAATATAGAACAGAAATATTTATTGAACATCTCTGCCTTTTCTGCATTATTATTGACAATTCTACCATTTCCATCTAGTAATGAATCCACACCATTGTTGGGATTCTTATTCTTCCTGATACATTAAAAAAACTCCTTCTAACTATTCCTTTATATGCTGGCCAGCCATTTTTATATACATATATATAAGGTCTGTCAATTAATCACAGTTAACTCAAAAAAATTAATTGCAATTAAAAAAATTAATCGTGATTAATCGCAGTTTTAATCACACTGTTAAACAATAGAACACCAATTTAAATTTATTAGATATTTTGGATGTTTTTCTACCATTTCATATATATTGTATTCTGTGCTGTAATTGAAATCAAAGTATATATTATTTTTGATTACAAATATTTGCATTGTAAAAATGATAAACAAAATAAATAGTACTTTTCAATTCACCTCATACAAGTACGGTAGTGCAATCTCTTTGTCGTAAAAGTGCAACTTACAAATGTAGATTTTTTTTGTTACATAACTGCACTCAAAAACAAAACAATGTAAAACTTCAGAGCTTACAAGTCCACTCAGTCCTACTTCTTGTTCAGCCATTCGCTAAGACAAACAAGTTTGTTTACATTTATAGGAGATAATGCTGCCCTCTTCTTATTTACAATGTCACCAGACAGTGAGAACAGGGCAACAGGCATTTGCATGGCACTTTTGTAGCTGGCATTGCAAGGTATTTACGTGCCAGATATGCTAAACATTCATATGCCCCTTCATGCTTCGGCCACCATTCCAGAGGACATGCTTCCATGCTGATGACACTTGTTTAAAAAAAAGAATGTGTTAATTACATTAGTGACTGAACGCCTTGGGGGGAAATTGTATGTCCCCTGCTCTGCTTTACCCACTGTCTGCCATATATTTCATGTTAGAGCAGTCTCGGATGATGACTCAGTACATGTTGTTCATTATAAGAACACTTTCACAAAATGCAAAGAAGGTACCAATATGAGACTTCTAAAGCTAGCTACAGCACTCAACCCAAGGTTTAAGAATCTGAAGTGCCTTTCAAAATCTGAGACGGACAAGGTGTGGAGAATGCTTCCAGAAGTCTTAAAAGAGCAACATTCAGATGCGGCAACTACAGAACCCGAACCACCAAAAAAGAAAATCAACCTTCTGCTGGTGGCATGTGACTCAGATAATGAAAATGAACATGCGTCAGTCCACACTGCTTTGGATTGTTATTGAGCAGAACCCATCATCAGCATGGAAGCATGTCCTCTGGAATGGTGGCTGAAGCATGAAGGGGCATACGAATGTTTAGCATATCTGGCACGTAAATATCTTGCAATGCCAGCTACAACAGTGCCATGCGAATGCCTGTTCTCACGTTCAGGTGACATTGTAAACAAGAAGCAGGCAGCATTATCTCCTGAAAATGTAAACAAATTTGTTTGTCTGAGTGGTTGGCTGAACAAGAAGTAGGACTGAGTGGACTTGTAGGCTCTAAAATTGTACATTGTTTTATTTTTGAATGCAGGTGGGTTTTTTTACATAATTCTACCTTTGTAAGTTCAACTTTCATGATAAAGAGATTACACGAATTAAAAAAATACTATTTATTTTGTTTTTTTACAGTGCAAATACTTGTAATCAAATAGAATACAAAGTGTACAGTGCTCACTTTATATTTATGTGTTGTAATTGAAATCAATATAGTTGAAAATGTAGAAAACATCCAAAAATATTGAAATAAATGATATTTTATTATTAACAGTGTGATTCATCACCATTAATTTGTGAGAGAGAGAAAGAGAGAGACCGACCGACCATCACTTCCTCTGTATGCCAGGTTGGTTTGTTTAACCAGCACAGCCTTCGTCCTCTTCTTACTGGCGGCTGGACAAGGTCAGGAGTTGGCAGTAGAGAATTTAATAGAACTTTTTCCATTTCAATCAAAGCAGGCTTTGCCTTTTAAGTGTTCCCGTCTCCACCTGCTGGCAAAGTGAAGCTAATCTATTGGCCTTGGCTGGAATAGGAGAATTTAGTGAAACCAAGTTCCCTCTGGGGTATTTTTCCTCCAAATTCAGGGCCCGCCCTTGTGTTACGTGCACACTCTATATCCCCACTAGGCACTCTGGGTGCACAGGGAATGCAGCATTGCACCCAGCAATGTATTTATTGGCAGATGCTCCCTTTTAAAATGGTTTATTTTTACCATACTGAAATCACTGTAGTAATACAGCCTTTTTTTAAAAAAAATTGACTCCTCTATCATTTTAAAATATATAAACAACTTTTAAATTGTTTTCCCTGGGCACTGGCAGGATTAGAACTGCAATTCCAAAGGTGAAAGGCCTGTAATTAATCCAGTGTGCCAATCAAATCCCATCAGTTAAACATATTTCATTAATATTTGTTTTTGTAATGTTAAGCCACATTATAAACATTTTAATAGTTCACATCTGTCTCTCATTGAACAATTGTAATTGAAATTAAAACTCTAGTTTTTCCAAGGTAATTGTATTTTAGAAATGCATATTCTTGCCAGAGGATGAACAACATTTTCAGCCGTATAGCCCTAAAACTGCAGAAGACTCCTCTTAACCAGAAATTAAAACAGCACCTCGTGTCCTGCCCCTGATGGGAGAGAGTCAAACACTGTTCTGAGACTCCCCTTGGGACTGAGGATGAGAGATTCTGAATGTAAAATTACAAGGAGAGGCATAGAGTGTTTGTCTGTCTGTTCTAAGGTAATGAATCCATATGAATTGTACATTATTTATATTGCTTGCAAATGTTCAGAAACTCTTTTGATTTTTCCTTAAATCAACAGTGGCTATCGTGACAAGGGGGATGCTGCAGGATTTAACAAGGTAGTATGACAGTTGTGCAACATTTTCCTTTTTTCACTTTGAAATGTAAATATACAAAATTTGACAGAGGTTTCTTCAGAGCTGTATCCTTTCCTAATTTTAACAGCTACATTTTGATATTTTGTTGGTAAAATATTTCAATAATTAAGCACCATCTTTTCTAAGCCTTTTAGGTAATAGCCACTGCTTGCCAAAAAGGCCAAGAGAAAGAATTCCAACACCAACACAAAAAAGAACTAAAAATCAGGTTCTATCCAATGTCCAAATGTAGCTAGAACTCAAATCACAGAGACTTTGGCTTTCCAGGTGCCAGCTATGAAGCTCCTTCACACTAGTCCTATTGGGTTTTGGCTAGAAATAACTAAACCCTAATATATACATGGTCATAAATTCTGTGTGACCCATAATCCTATTTACTCTACTGCTTTCACTGCTCTAGACAATAGATTAGGAGATCCCCCTTGAACACATTTCAGCACCCTTCAAGGTAAACTTCTGGAATCCTGTCATGTGAGGAAAAAACAAATCACTGTAAACACATAAACATAACCAGTCTTACTCTACATTGCTGTCGTGAATATACTTATTTATAGAGCTCCGTAAATACACAGGATGTTTTTATGTGTTTTCAACACACATAAAGACCAAGTCCCTGCTTTGGGCCAACACATACAGCAAAGAGTGGAGGTGTCATCTGTTCCGAAGTCACTCTAGAAAGGGGCTGGAAAGAGGAGAGAGGGCTTATGAACATGCTTAGTGAGGCTGCTCCAAGCATAGAGACTGTGCTGAAAGGTGATGCAGAGCTGCAGCTGGGAGGAGCCCAAAGAAGCAGCACAAGGAGGCAGGGGAAAGCAGTGCTCTTCGAAAGTGATATAAATGTGTGAAAGCCCATCGAGCTGGGGGTTTTACTTTGACTTTCAAAAAGAGCATTATCTATTAATTGAAGCTGTTTCAAAGATTCCAAAGCCAGAAGAAAATAAAAACAGCCACACTGGGTCTGACCGATGGTCCATCCTGTCTCCAACAGTGGCCAGTACCAGATGCTTCAGAGAAAGTGAACAGAACAGAATAGTAGGGTAGTTTCAAGTGACCAATCCCGTTATCCAGCCCAGCTTCCAGCAGTTGACGGTTTAGGCACACCAAGAACATGGGGTTGCATCCCTGATCATCTGGCTAATAGCCATTGATGGACCTATCCTCCAGAAGGGACCAGTCTGACAATCTTGTCTGAACTCCTATATAACAAAGGCCACAGATATTTCCACAATAATCCCTAGAGCAGACCCTTTAGAAAAGCATCCACTCGATCTAAAAATTGTCAGTGATGGAGAATCCACCATGACTGCTGGTAAATTGCTCCAATGGTTAATTATCCTCACTGTCACAGAGTTATGCCCTATTTCCAGTCTGAATCTGTCTAGCTTCAACTTCCAGCTATTGGATTATGTAATACCTTTTGCTGCTAGATTGAAGAGCCCATTATTAAATATTTACAGGGCCCAGGAGCATGGAAGTATTTCTAGCTACCTGAGAAGGTGCCAAGTTTGGTAAAGTATATTACTGGGAAGACTAGATGGGGATTGGTGGATCATCAACCATCTGGCCCTGATTTGGGAAAATACTTCGGCATGGGCTTAAGTGCTTCTCTATTAGCAAATCATTTAAACATAGGCTTAAGTGATTTGCTGAACAAGGATGCTTTCCTGAATGGATGAATTTAAGAGAACAGCTCTATGAAGGAAGAAACTCTGCCCCATATGCAATAACTGAATTCGCTGGAAAACTAGACTCCCTGGAAGTGCAGGTTGACATCAGGTGATCTATTACAGCCAAAATCAGTATTGGAAATGCCCATACTTATGAATTTACGGTTAAGACCTGATAGAGCTGATTTTTAAAAGGCAGATTCTGCTTGTGCAACCCAGTTGCATGAAGATTTTTACTTTCTCATTTGTGTATATAGGTGACAGCAAACTTGTCCAAATGTGCAGGAAAAGTCTATCATCTGTGCAGAAAAGTGAAATTTTTGTCACCTATGCTTGCAGGTGATATTGCTCACAAGATGATGTGTAACTGGCTGTTCGGAGAGCCCATCAAAAATTTCTAGAAAAGCCCCTGTAGTCTGTCTGACGTTTTCAATGCCCTTACCCACAGAATGGTTTCATGCACCACAAAGGTGCTAAATGGGACTGCTGATTCAATTGTGCAACATTTATCAAATGGCCTCAATTTTTATAGTAGATTCCACTCCCCACCCCACCCCCATTTTCTAGACACATTAAGGTAAACATTGCAGGAAATGTCCCCGGAAAGACTGT